ACAGTAGCATTCTCAGGTATGACACTGAAAGCTGATTCCCTTTAGATACAAGAGCAGAGGTTCCCTCTTTTATGCAAAGTTGAACAAACAATCACTGCAGCACAGTTTGCTCCAACTGGACCAAAGAGAAGATATTTGTTATTGAATACAGCTCAGTTACAGCTGAAACAACCAGTTGATTTATTGACCGACAGAAAATTAGTTTGTTTTGATGATCGATTCATTGTTTAAAAGGTCCAGTCTGTAGGATTTAGGGGGATATTTTGGCAGAAATAAAATATAATGAAATAAGAATTTTTTCTGATTATTAATGTGAAACTGCTTTATTCTGTGTTTTTTTCAGATTTAAATGGTCTGTTTGTTTTGGAGAGGAAGAGACCTCTGCAGATAGTTTGGCTCCTGCGAAAAACCCAGTGAACGTCTGGATCTTTAGTCATAAGAAAAAAAGGTGAGAACACACACGCAAGTGAAGGGATAGCGGCCCGTTTGTGACAAGCTGAACAGCTTCGGGGAAACACTAATTTGTAATGTGAAACTGTTTTATGCAGTGTTTTTATTACCTGGTCTGTTTCTTTTGGAGAGGAAGGGACCTCTGTGGATAATTCAGCTATAAGTAAACCACGCCTGAACAATGAACACCAAAGGAACTCTGACCATGGGTTCACACTTGGCACATGGGAGAAATCTCAGCTGGTTGCAACCCTCAATCCTCATCGCTAGATGCTATTAAATCCTACACACTGTTCCATAATTTTCAAGTAAACATTTCCAAAATTCTCTGGTTTCAGCTTCCCAATTGTATGGATTTACTTTTAGTTTTGACTTATATCAGGTTCAATGTTAATGTGTTCTTTCACTTTACCCAGTTGGGCAACTGAGTCAGAGACATACTTGTCTGAAGTAAATTGTCCCTATTCATATTTTATCTATTGGCAGTTATCTAATAACAAAAAAGACTAAAGTTAATTATCATGTAGTACTGTGCATGTGCACATCTTAACAGAGATAAGAAGGGAGCAAGATGCCTCACTGCTGAACTACTTCCATCATCAGCTCCAGGTAAAATGATGTGCTTAATTAGATTTTACCACTTGCCCCATTAAGTTGCTGGGTTTACTAGCCCAGCATGACATTTTACTTGCCCTGGGCAATTGGGTAATCGTTATTGTTGAGCCCTGTACGTGCTCTTAAGTGTTCTTTCTTTGAAATTTGGGTACCATTTTTTGGACAAAATAAGCCCCTTGGGCTCTGTGAATTTGTGAATTCTGACATTTCAAAATGAAGCAATTACCGCTGTGACTAATCATTAGTTTATCTGCAGATCATTCCCTCTACCAACTGAAAAAATGTCCATCACAATTTCCTCAAATCCAAAGTGACATTTTCAAATGTCTTTTCTGACCAACAGTCCAAAGGGGAAAAAAACAACAAAGATATTGAGTTTGCAATAATATATATTGATATAAAACAGAGAGAAGTGGCATATACCATCACAATTGAGAATCTGGAAAGAAACTGAATAACTTGACTTAACATGACGTCAAATATCATTTGATATAGTTTTCATTTGATGTCCTTTCGTCCATCAACTAATTCAGTAATTGACTAGTGTTTCAAGGAATCACAGCTCTGTGGTTAATACACATTTAGATCAAATGTATTAAGTGGTAAAATCAGTGGGTGTATGGCAACTTATGATCAAACATACACCCTCATAAATACTCTCATAGTGTTGAGGGATGTTAGATAGTAGTAATAGTTTCATCTATTAATAGTATATTACCAGTAGATTGAATAATTTCTCAATAGCCTACTTTGAGATTCTCTGTGACACCTTCAAGGACCCCTGGTAGACCCCCAGTTTGATAACTACAGTTCAGGCCTGCAATCCTTGGCTGCCATTCAGCAGGGTTTGCACAATAACTCGAGTGATTCACACTTCAAAGTTACATGTAAAGTGAGACTAACAAATAAACACGGGTGTTCAACGTGTTTCACTTGCATTTTTGGCAAGGAGCTCTCCTGAGTGACTCATCCTGAACTCTTCACCGAGCAAACAGTGGAACTGGCTGTACCAAAACATGACCCAGAAGAGCAGCCAGTCCTTACATAAACCCAAAAGGAATTAGATTTCCGCGCCATCCCTCTAACATTAAGAGCCTTCACACAAAGCACCGTTTCCCCCAATGATCATTTCTGCGCTTGTTTTCATCAAATATAACCCAGAGCGCTGGCATGCACCGAAATAAGGGCAACACAGGTGAAGAAGAACCGACTAAATCTTCTGTTTGGATTCCGACGAACAGTGAACTCAATGTATAGATGACAAACAGCCGGAGACACCACGAATAACAAGTTAAACGTTTCGGAAACAGAGCTGACAGCAAAATAGGCTCCTAATAATAGACAGCAGCGTAACGGCTTTGAGCCGCGAGCACAAAAATGCTAACAAAGCGCTATGGAAACACAGTGCTACGGCTAGCTTTCACATCTACCATCATTACAGTTCGTATTAATCATTAGTGATGGCTTAAATTTGTCATAAAAGAAACTCACGTAGTCTAGTTCAATTCCTCCATCGCGGTCTGCCGAGCTGTTCGCCACATAGGAAGGAGGGGGGGAAAGCTGTAACTCACCGTGACTAAGCATTGTACCGGCCTCCCCTTGCTTTCACAATAAGAGCCCGCCTCCACAGAGCTGAACCCGCCTCCGTTGACGAGTAATGGAAGTGAAATGCGTCCCGAGGGAGGGGGCTTTTATTGAGAAGGACTCCTCAGAGTGAAGGAACAGCGAGGCAGGATGCCAAAAACTGTAGCTTCAACCAACGTCAATCAAATCTGTTACAAATAATACAATGTTATCACCGCTCTGGCCTCATGTGTCAACTATATGGAAAGAAATAGCTCTCAATAGCACCACGCATTGTGCCAAGTTGAAAACAATATTGCGTTATGTTGAGTAAGAATAGGAAAACACGTAAAGCGAATTCAGTATTAGCACACCTCAAGCTCAAGCAGCCTGTCTAAAATGTGAAATTCAAACAGGAAATTACTAAAACGCTATTGTTTAATGGCGGTAAAAAGGCACAATGACGCTCATTTAACAAGGCTCTAATGACCCCCAATTAGACTACCTTATAACCCAGTTTGCCCCCTTATCTCTACATGTAGCTCACCTTCCTTGTCAAGTCCCCTTCCCCCATCCATGTTTATGAGCGGCTCCTAGCAGCTTGACAGAAATATGCTCCAGGCAGGTGCTGACACACCAGTAAGTTTTCCCCTCTCTTGCAAAAATACGTAATTCAGGTCAATACAGTACACAGCATACTTTATTCTAGCAAACATCCACAAGGTGGCACCAAAAAGCCAGCTGTGAAACTGCAGTCACTAAGACCCACTTTATGTTACTGCCTCTCAACACATTACATGTTCACAGATTTAGTCATGTGAAAGTGAGCTGCCAATACTTGCATAGTAGAAAAAATATTCAAGCTTTGTTGAGCCTCATAGCCACAATTCATAGCTGATTAAACCAAATAAGTCATGCTGAGATTAAATCTCTGCTCCCTTAGGGTCGTTGAAATTGATGATGAAGCATCAACAGACATGAAAATTCCCTGATACGATATGACAAGCCTTGAATCAGAGTTCACCCTAGCTGAGCAATGACTCTGCCCTCACTCTCTGTGTAATTCCAGTCAGAGGAATTAGGTGGGGTTAGCCTTGGGGCATCGCATGGACACTCCTAGACAAGCATTGTGCCGTCTGTCTGCTCCCCATGCATCTGAGGTTAAAGCACTCCTTACCTACACATGTTACCACTTCACAAAGCTCTACAGGCACAGGGAACAGTACAGCATATATCTGTACATCTGTACCTGTCCAGTTTGTTGTATGATTCCAGCAGCAGGAAGGAAGCTGGGAGGGGGCAGCAAAGATTCCCTGACTTGTTGACCTCTGTCAGCAGGCACAGTGCTGGTGAATACCACCAACATATGGAAGAACACCTGCACCCATACAAATCATATCAAAGGTATCCCAGTGCTGTGTGATACATGTTATCCTAGGTAAATATGTCTTCAGGTCAGTGTGGGTGAAATCAGAAGTGAAACAACTATAGGCCTATAGTTTGTCAGGTTGCCTGTTTGGTTTCCGTAGTCTTTGCTTTGCAAGAATGAATGCCCTAGAGCTGCTTTGCGCATAATAAGAGGTGTGAAAAGTTAACATATGTATGTCCCTAAATAGATTACTGCACAAACACTGTTTAAACAAGCTAAAAATAATTGCCCCGTCATATCGCACTCATGTTGAGTCAGATCTACAGTATTCATGTTTTAGATTTGTTTGTGCAGTGGCAATACTCCAGCAATTGTGCTTGCAGAATTACAAACCAGATCAAGAACTTTATTTCACATTTGTCAGTTTTTTGAATCTATGGCATTTATAATAATCACACCACAAAGCAGTGTTTTTAAATGAATGATGTTAAGTAAATATATCTCTACGTCCCATAGCAGTACTACAATATCTTTTTCAGTCCTCGGTAATGTCGGGAAACACACAAACTTTAATTGAATTAACAGTCTGTTGAGTTTGTACTGTTTGCAGAATGTACAGCTCCCAGGGAACAACATTTTAGCCAGCTGAATGCGGTCTTTCTCTGTTTCATTTGGGAACAGTGTGGACAGCAAGTCAAGGCAAGGCAATGGCCAGTCTCACCCACGGGTTGACAGAATAAGAAAAAAAGAAAAACTGAGTTCTCAGGTTTTAAATAAAAGGCACAATGTGAGGTGCCTGATCCGTCCTGAGACATATAGAGCTTGTAGAGGAACGCTGTATCTAGGCCAATGCCATTACCAGATGTGAGACAAGGGGGCCGACTTCCTGTGGTGCTTCTTCAAGAACTGTTCTTCCATTCAAACAACCTCAGCTACATGAAAAGAAACACACACGCTTAAATGAGTGCACACACAGTAAAAACAAACCAAGACCTCTTCAGAATCCTTTAAGACAACATTTTTTATTTCTTTTATGAAAAGAAAGGTAAAGTTTGCTTTTACTTGTTACAAAACAGATATAATTTACAATACAGAAGATATGAAAAGTCTTCAGAAATACAAAAAGTTCACTACATGAATTACAGTACAAAAAAGCACACTACCACATTCATCAATTAAGGTCTGGAAAGACTGCACTTAAAAAAACACACATCCGTATAAAAAGACTGATGTCAAACTCATTTCATAATAACAAAAAATCAGTACCTCAAACTAAAACGGAAATATTCTGCTGACATGATGGATGGTGAAGGGATGTATTGGAATAATTGCACTCATTCCGCATGATTTAGCTTAAAAGTGCAGGCACATTCTTGCCCTTAAAAGTCCTGCAGCTAGATAATGGTGATTTACGACACCTACAACTTAATCTGAAATCTCTGACGTAATAATTTATTAGGCTTATACTTACAAGTGATGCAACTGCAGCTGATCTGGTTTTCCGTTAAAATATCACCATGTTATGGGGAAAAGGCCTTTTTTTGGTAACATCTGTCAGTTAATCACATTACATGTTGACATTTTGTTGTTGCAGTTTTCCTGCAGATGTCAGACTGACATTTGAAATAAAGTTGGACACCAAACCCCAACAACTTTCCATTTGGCATCAGATAAGTTAACCATCTGTCATTTCAAAACAGTCGGGGGATTTTAATGTTGCGTCTCCCTCCCACAGCTATACCACAGCATTCTTCACCGAGCTGAAAGAACAGTTAAGAGTGAGCACCACCTCTCCCTTTCCTGTTATCTTTCAGTTTCCCTGTTACCCTCCCTGCATCACGTACACAAATATGTGTGTGTGGCAGGGGTCCATACGAATTTATCTGAACAAATCTAGCACACCATGGGCCTTCGAACCAGCGAAATCCAGGTGTCTGGAGATGAACAGATTACACATATTTATATTGTGTTTGTGCTATATTTAAGGCACTTCAATAAGAAACTGAAAAAAAGGTCAAAGCCAACCACACTCATTCACCATCAACCCAGAAAAGGTTGCATTTACATTTTTTTTTTTCAGTCACGAGTCTTTGGGGTTTACAGAAGTTTCCTTCCAAACTACAGAACCACAAGAAAACTGAATCCAAGCTGCTTCTCTATTCATTGTGATATTTCAGTGCAAATTAGTTAAGGAGACTCATCACTAGCATCTACTCATAAAAGAGTCTGATTTCTTGTTCACATTTGAGTGGCATCTTTTTGTTTTGTAATCATCTCACAAAGTTCTGCACCACTTCTGACTCGTCAAGGTGAGACATTTGTCTAAACATGATTCTCTTGTGCCTTCGTAATATTTCATACAAACTCTGATTCTGGCTATGCTCCAAATTGGAGAATACCAGAACTGCTTCTTCTCCAAAGAATATGTGCTACATGTCCTCTGTTCAGTGGGAAACCCATTCACACACGTATGGACTCAATCAATCAATCAGTCTAAGTCCTTATGACTTGAAGAGTTTAGGGTAAAATGCCTTAATAGGAGACGGGGTGATAACGTTTCCAGAGGAAATGGTCGTCTCCGGTCCCCCCTCTAGCTTCTGGGACGCCACCTCAGTTTTACTGAAACTGCACTCCAGGAATGGCATCCCAATCTTCTTCACCTGGCCATCTCTGGTCATCAGACAAGGCCGACAGAGCAGCCTGAGAATGGCTCTCCTCATGTCCTTACTGGTCAGAGTGTAGATGATGGGGTTGAGGAGTGAGTTGACCATAGCTACTCCCAGGAAGTAATCGGCCTTGTAGAGCAGGCGACAACTGCGGGTGGGGCAGAAAAAATCCAGGAGGAGGAGTACGAAGAGGGGCAGCCAACAGGCAATGAAGACACCGACCACGATGGTGACAGTCTTGAGGAGGGCGATGTACTTCTGCGACTTCCTTGCCAAGCCTTTCCTCATGCTGCCCGACAGGCCCAGCCGCTGGCGCTGCGTGTTGGTGCGGACAATTCGAAACACTCTGACATAAAGGACGACGATGGCCAGGAGCACTGCGCTAAACACAGACACGCAGAAGAGGATGTAGCTCTTGGAATAAAGTGGGAGGACTGTTGAACACTGGTCCAGTCTGTGGATGCAGTTCCACCCCAAAATTGGGAGGACCCCCAGAAACCCTGCCAGGGCCCAGCTTGCACCAATCAGTGCCAACATCCGTCCCTTCTTTGCCCCGTGGTATGGCCTCATAGTCACCATAGTAACATGGCGTTCAATTGCAATGGCCAGCAAACTAATTATAGAGGCTGCCAGAGTGATGAAGACCCCTCCCTCCCTGAGGAACCATAGCAACGGAGTCAGTTTCAAAGTATTAGGTCCGGACATGATGATGTTGGCCATGTATGTAATCCCAGCCAGCAGATCGGATAGAGTCAGGTTGCCCAGCAGGTAATACATGGGCAGGTGGAACTTTTTGTTCCTCCATATGGCGATGAGAACCACAGCGTTCTCCAGGACGATGAGGAGACAAACCACCAGGAACGCAATGCCTTCAGGTTTGAGTCCTTCGCGGTAGCGGTCTTTCTGCAGCTTGCCGGTGTAGTTGTAATGCTCCACAAGGACAGAAATGTCCTGGTACTCCCAGAAAAACTGCAAGTAGCCTGGAGAGGAGGGTGTGGGGGAGGTGGGGAGTATGGGTGTAGAGGAAGGAGTCCCTGCATGAGCAGAACTTGAAGCCTCCATGCTTTTTATTGCTTTCCTTCTATTCTGCTTACAGTTGATGGCTATAAAGTCATATTTGTTGACATGTTTTTTGTTGCAGTCGGAGCTGTGAAGAATTTGTCCAAAGAAGATACACAAAAAAGATGTCTGAGCTCCTTCAGTTAAGAAAGGGATTATGAAGTTGATACAGTGTAATCCACCAGGATCCCCAGATGTTTTCTTTTCTGCCAGAAGACGGTGCTCTTGAGCTCCGCTTGTCCTGGTTTAGAGGGTCCAGACGCTGCAGACAGACATGAAAAAAGCATGAAAAATGATGGAAAGAGTGAATGCAGAATGAATAAAAACTGAAATCACAATCCTTAATAGATTAACTTGAAATCAAACTCTTAAATTAAAGTTAACATTCATACATTTTCAAAGGACTAGGTTATGTTACACTGACATTTAAGACATTTAGCCACAAAAATGTAATGAGTCAAAACACATGAATCATAAATCCACAGACAAGCAAAGCGTAGGTGTAGTTAAGTTGAATGCACATGTATATACATTTCCTGTAACGCTTGAGTGTAAATTGTGATGATAGGAAATTTAAATTACAGCATAAACCTCATGACATCCACTAAAACAGATGAGCGATTATTTCTTTTTGCGTTTGCAGGGTATGAATGTGATACTAAATACTGAAAGCACAGAGGGATCTTTTTAAGGTCAAACATTTAGTCCTTCCAGTCTTGTTTAGTGTGCATCAGTCACTGTAAGGTTGTTAGACAAGAACCATCACAACATGTGCACTTAATTTGGCACACATGTTGCTGCACCCCTGCCAGCCCCCACCCCAGCATCACCATTCCACTTTCACAGTATAGATGAGGTGTGTTTGAAGTCTCCCACCCACACATGCAAATACGCTTAAACATCACATCCAACGTCTGCAACATTTGCAAACTATGATCACAAATATGCTGAAGGTTGTGGTTGAATTATTTTAGCTTTCATTGTTAATGGTAAAAACAATCAGGGGTGATTAGGGTTGCATTCCTGTGAGTCTCTGTCGCGTGAGGGAATGTTTTTCTCGCCTCTTGAGTCATATGTGAACATTTAACAAATGGTCTAGAGACATAAACCCATTCAATCTGCTGCCAAGAATGTAGGAAATTAATATAATTTGTCCATGTTGGCCCAAATGCTGAGTATTGAGTCCCTCGATGGGAGAGAATGACCATGGAAAAAATATGAATGAGATCATGAATGAATACCAGTATCTTAATGTCAGTTATCTACAAAGAGGTGTGACTGAGAGAATACATATGTTATAATCACAAGAATAAAAATTTGTGTTTATAATAATGACAAGACAAAAAAACTCAGACAAAAACTGTTTTAAAACATTTTAAAATGAAACAAATCTTTTTTGGTTGTTGTTTTTTTCACCATTGTTGCTTATAGTACAATCTCCTGTACGTTTTAGAAGTCTTACTTTTCTTCAGGTGTTAACAGTGTCATAAAGCAAGAGATTAATTTAAACATTGCAGTAATAAATCTTATTTCAAACAAATCACAAGCAATCCTTTGATTATTGACGAGATTATAATTGTGTTTCTCTTATCATTCTGTTCTGTTTAAACACAGCACAAATGCAATCGTATAAAAATGATCATGTGCCACATATTGCATCAGAATAGAAAGAATCACAAAGAAATTACCTTAAAAATTAATGTAGCGTTGCTCTTATCCTGCACTTCATCTGCTTTCCAGTGAGGAGAATCCAAACACGAGCACCAAGTGACTCACAGTCAAACTGACAAGGCAGAGGGAGTGAAGTGAGACCTTAGTTGAAACATGCAACAGCTAAAGGGGGTTGGTCTTAACCCAAACTCTCTCACTCCCCCTCACATTCTCCCTCTCTTCCCTCTCTCTTCCCTCCCTCTCTCTCTCACTCTTATGCATGCATTAACACACAGTTGTGTGCATGCAAACACATGTAGAAAAAAAATATGTCTCCTGGCCGCACACCATAAAATCTCTTCTTGATGATTAACCGATGAGAAGGAGCTGGAACCATCAAAATATTAAGACCTCAGTGAGGCCTGTCAGTGTAAGCAGCACCTCTGATTACACAGCCACAACTGTTGCAGCCGTGAGATTTGTTCACATTTCAGAATTCACAGTGTATATACACTGTATCTTTCTGATATCGTCATGAAGGCTCATCTCTGTGTACAATGATACTATGATGACGGCAAGAGAAACTTGCTCACACAGGCCCCATCCTTAAAAATTCCCTAAAATCAGGTACATGTGATATCTACAAGGGCATAAAAAACTTAGGCCAAAAGAATTTGAGTATCATTCATTTCCTGCATTCTGATGAATTTCTATGCACCAATTTGGGCCTTTTCTGCACAAATGTCTGTATTTTTGCTACTTTCACATTTTTCTTGTGGGAGGGACAAATGCACAAGTTCTAAATACTGAGGGCGACATGTCCCCTGCGTCCCCCCTGCAACCTACACCTATCGATATCTACAGTACATGCAATATACAGTGTGTGGGCTACAAGAAAACGATCAGTTTGCAAGCAGGAAACATCTGCAAGACTGCAAAATTATCTGAAAGTGCATTGAGAACACTACATAAAACATCAAATTATGAAGAAGGGATGTACATTTTCAGGTGTTATGGTGGTTACACAAACACCACTTTTCAATTTTCTAAAGAAATAAAAGGGAAATAACGGCTGCTGTCGTGCTGGAAGAACCAGTTTTGATGAGCCACGGCTCAGTGACATTTCCCCAAACTCCCCAAGCCAGCTGAAATGTACACGCTAAGCTTTTGTTTTTCCCGACTTCCTCAGAGTTTAGATTTATTGCTCCCACGATTATCCATTCTACCACCCCCTACTTATGCAGCCAGGGAAGTGGAGCGAATACGATTCACATGGTTTATGTTGCAATGATGGCATCCCAATTCCCAGAGTCTGTCAGTGAAATTGCAGCATGCTTTGACACGCTTTGGCTGTTTACCTGCGAAGCCTCCGCTGCAGGGCATGCGGCTAAAGGTTTATCAGGACAAAACAAAGCAGGGGAGAGGTGAACAATGCTGTATGAGAGCCTAGAATATAACTTTTATTAGTTTGTTTTTGTTTGTTTTGTTTCAAAGCCAGTGATTGATATGCTGACATGTTGACATGACATTTACCCCAAACACATCTGAAACAGCACTGACTTTTCATTTGCTGTGACACCTATTTACTTTCTTTACCTACTGTCTTTTGACAGTTGGAAATCCTGCTCTTTATCCGGCTACTCCTGTGGTACATTACTTTGCAGTGTCTGACTATTCAAACAGAGTTTTCCTTCAACTAAACCTGTTTGCTGTGTGATTATTACCTGGTTTAGCTGAAGAATCCTCTGGCTCCTTTGTGCATGGCTGAGTGTGGACAATACACAAGCACATTTCTTTCTTTCTTTCTTTCCCTGCCATCACACTGCTTCTCCGACTCTCTCAGTCTCACATGGCAGTCCAGTCACGTTAGTGTTTGTTTCTGCAAACCACAAGTACACTTCATTTGCAAGTTTCATACGTATCATATTACATTTTCTACACTGATGTAGTATATAAGCTGACTTTGTCATCTGGATTGTGGATGGCGTGTTACTAGTTGTTTTTTAGCAAGTCTGTGTGCTGTGGCTCTTATTCCAGCAGCTTTTTAGGCACCAAATGCCAGTACTTTATAGTGGCTTATGGCTCTTTTGCAGCTGCTTTTTATGCAACAAACATGGATGTTTTTTAGGAACCTGTCACTGTTTTTCCTGCAACTTTTTTAGCCCCCAAAATTGGGTGTTTTTTGGTGACCTGTCACTTTTTTCCTAGCAGCTTTTTAGCCCCCAAAATTGGGTGTTTTTGGTGACCTGAGGCTACTTTTCCAGCAGCTTTTTAGGCACCAAACTGGGTGTTTTTAGGGATCTGTCACTGTTTTTCTAGCAGCTTTTTAGCCTCCAAAAGTAGTGTTTTTTAGTGACTTGTGGCTCTTTTCCCAGCATCTTTTTAGGCACCAAATGTAGGTGTTTTTTAGGGACCTGTCACTGTTATTCCAGCAGCTTTTTAACCCCCCAAAATGGGTGTTTTCTTAGCAACCCATGGCTCTTTTTCTAGCGACTTTACAGCCCCCACACATGGGTGGTTTTTTTTGCAACCTATTGCTGTTTATCCAGCAGCTTTTTGGGCATCAATCTGGGTGTTTTTTAGGGGCCTGTTGCTATTTTTCTAGCAGCTTTTTGGCCTCCAAAAGTGCGTTTCTTTAAGTGACCTGTGGCTCTTTCTCCAGTTTATGACTCTTTTTCCAGCAGCTTTTTAGGAACCAAATTGGTGTTTTTTAGGGCCCTGTCACTGTTTTTCCAGCAGCTTTTTAGCCCCCAAAACATGATTTTGTTTTAGTGACCTGTGGCTCATTTTCTGGGAGTTTTTTAGACACCAAACGCAAGTATTTTGTAGTGACTCCTGACTGTCTTTCCAGTGGCTTTTAAGGCACAGAACTTGGGTGTTTTTTAGGGACTTGTAGCTGTTTTTGCGACCTGTCTCTGTCTATCCAGCAGCTTTTTAGCCTCCAAACATGGGTGTTTTTTTAGTGACCCATCACTGCATTTCCTACTGGGACAGTGGCAAGAAATGTGACATCACTGTTTTTCCAGCAGGGATTGCACCGCCCAAAATGGGTATTTTAAGCCAAAACATGATCTTTTCCTAACCATAACTATGAGGTTTTGCCCAAAAGTGCCTAAATGTAACCATGCATTAACCACAGAGTTGCTGAAATGTAAGATTTCGAAGTATCTGCGACATAGCAACAAGCAGCAAAATTAATGTATCAGTTGTTTGCAGAAATGTTCAATGCCAACATTTTGTCTGGTAACTGGGTTGCACATGGTCTTCATCCAGATTTTGTGTTTGTGTCTGACAGGCTCCTGATAATGTCAGTTAAGTGAGTCTGCTGACATACTGACACACATCAGTGAATCAACAGATCAAACAGTCATAACACCCTCAGGCAAAATTATTAAAAAGGTGCTTGGGACGTTGTGTCAAAGCAGCAGTTGAAAAAGGATCATTTGGAGCTGTTGGCTGAAATAAAAACATGAACTTTTCCATCACAAAGGAAAACATGTACATGCATGTGTTTGAGAGGCTAGTAAAGGAATTGAAGTTGATTGGGTGAACTTTCTCTGCTGCTGTTAGCGTGTCTGTTTGTGTTTATAAATGTTACATGTCTCACCCACACTCCCTGCCGTCTGCACCACTGTGTGTAGGAGGGGAACCTTATCAGGAGATCATTAAAGAGTAATATCCTGGCGGGGTGAACGCAGAGGCCTTACATCAAAGCCTCAGAGAGAAACAGGGCTCTGACACTGAGGATGAGTAGTCTAACAGACGGACGGGACTCACACAACCCTGAACAGGAAGGAAAAGCAGTCCTCTTTCATCTCTTCTTCTTGATCATTTGCGTGTTACACAGTCTGGTCTGTTTTCCTGTTACTGTTTTGTCTCCCTTTTTATCACACTTCTCCTGTTTTTTTGTCATTCCTCACTCACAGTTTTCACCCCTGTATTCAGTCTGTCTTTATGCTCCACTTTCTGTACAGCAACACTGAAAACACGCTCCAGAAGGATTTCCCTCTTTGGTATTCTTAACATTTGTTTTTGGCCACACACACCGCTGTGATGCTGACTGCTTTCAGCTGAGGGTGTGGATGTAATGTTGACCTTGATGGACCAGTTATGTGACCGACAGGACTTGTTTGCGGTGCACAAGGGGTTTATTTTTCGGTTGACCACAGCCAGCCCGCTGATTTGATTGTAACTGATGGAGTGATGTTATGATGGCTTCTCTTAGCTGGCAGCACTGGCAGCTACAAATTTCAGCTATAGTGTTAATATTTTTACAGCCTTGATATTTTTCAGCCTGTGTGGAAAACATCAAAAATATAAGAGTCTGAAATGCAGGACCACCTACAGTTTGAGAGTTGGAACTGTTATGGCATCTTTATTTTCTTCACTTTTGAGGGTGAATTTTGGCCTGCACATGAACCTGACCTGCACTTCCTCCCAGCACAATAAAACTTTAAAATATCCCAGACATTATTTCACAGCTTCAACTTTTGCCTGTCAGACATCAGAAGGGTTGAGGTTTTGATTACCTAAGGGGCAAAGATATGAGTATGGCATATTGGGCTTCAAAACACCATCTAAATTGTCTTTGCCTGCCAAGTTCTCTCTAGTCCTCTTCCTCACCTCCTAAACACTTCAGGCTGGGGTCTCTCTAAGGCTATCGCACCACCGCCCCCCCTGCAATCTATCACCACTCAGTCCTCAGTCCTAATCTACTGATAAGTCCCCAAAATCAGACTAGCCAGACCAGCTCTGTGACGATAAGCAAACATTCCTCACTGCTTGCAATTGTATCTCTTTTTGTCGTTTTTTTCCAACACACATACACAGCAGAAGCAGCAGGAGTTTGGTCATCTCTTCTTTAACTTTATCCACCCCTCTCCACATTTCCATATAGCCTCCCTGAAGTGTGATGTTTACTTTCCAGTATGCGATCACTCGATGGGCTCATCGAGCTGCATTGCATGACCTAAGACAGTCAAACCCACTCATCAGTGTATTGTTTGTTTGGATTTTCCAGCCGACTTGCTGCGGTTTGGGGGCCACTCAAGGCCGATTTATGAGGATCTGTGTTCTTTTGAAGTGCTTGCAGGGCACGGTGGCTCCAGAAGGAGGGATGAGTTGGGGA